TCCCAGGCCTCTGGTAGAGGACTCGTGCTTGAAAAATTGACCGCCCACAGGGGCAAGTAGGGAATGTTTTTTTTAACATAGTTTAAAAAACTATACACTAAAAAAGATGTTAAAATTAAATGATTGGATTAGATATTCAGATTGTTCAATTAATAATTGGTCTTTTTTTGTCTATTTTTCCTAATTTTTTTTTTCCTTTCTGCATATTGACAGACACAGAGGCAGTGACATGTGAAACAACAAAAGCCAAGCATTGCTGAGCCGTAGACACATATTTGCAATACTGAGGAGGCTGATAACAAATAAGATAATAAAAACTATTCAATATTCAATTAAAAATAAGTACCCACTAGCGGAGATGAATGGAAAACCACATTCAATATACAACTTTATCCTCATTAACACTCCAGTTTTCCTGGTATTAGTAAATGACATTCTAAGAAATTTTCTGAGCATCTTTATGTTCGTATGTCTTGATGATATTCTGACTTTCTTCAAAACCCCCCAGGAGCACTGTGTCCATGTCCACTCCATCCTGCAATGATTCCTCGAGAACTGCTTATATGTCAAGGCCAAGAAATTTGTTCCACTCTTCTTCTGTCATCTTTCTGGGTTATATTTTGGCAGGAGGACAGGTGAAGATCGACCCAGCCAAGGTCCGACCTGTAAGTGAAGGGCTCACTTCCACGTCACACAAGCACCCACCACACCTCACCTCCACCAAAGTCCTGAAGCCAAAACTGCCTTTGTCTTACTAAAACACCTGTTTTGATCCACCCAGATACCACAAAACTATTTATCATAGAAGTAGTTGCATCAGACTCTGGAGTCAGGGTTGTTCTCTGTTCCCAGTGTTCTGGACTAATAGGTAAGCTGCAACTTTGTGCATTTTTCTGTCACCTCCTGCAGAGAAAAATTATGATGTGGCCAGCCGGGAGATGTTAGCAGTGAAGTTGGCACTCGAGAAATGGAAAGAGGGGGCTGAACATCCATTTACCATCTGGACAGACCATAAAAAGTTAACCTATTTAAGAACGGCTAAAAAAATTAATGTCTGTCAAGCCAGTCTATAGTCTTTGTTTTTGCTCACTTCAAATTATCAGTCTCTTACCATCCAGATTCTAGGAAGTTCAAGCTAGATACCTATGGAAATTGTTTCTGATAGAGGTCCACAGTGTACTTCTCAGTTCTGGAAAGCCTTCGACTCAGCACATGGAGAAAAGGTCAGCCTCAGCTCCGGTTATCATCCACAAACCAATGGCCAAACCGAGCATCTCAAACAGAAACTGCAATCAGCTCTCTGCTGTGTCACCACGCAAAACCACCAATATGGTCTACGCATCTTCCCTGGGCATACACACAAAACACACTAACCCCATCTGCAACTGGTCTCTCACGCTTCGAAGACACCTCTGTTTCTGTAAGCCAAGGCTCACCTTCTCCCTCCACACCATCTGCAACAATGTTAACGCATCTGGACCGAGAAGGCGCTACTCAGATCGAGCAATCTTCAGTTCTGCTGTGCAGACAGCCTAAGGACACCTGCTCCCAGGAACCAGCCTGCGCAAAGGGTATGGCTTGCTGCTAAAGACAATCCACTGAAATGCCTTTCCCATAAGCTCGCTCCATGTTACTTTGGACCATACGAGATTGAAGCTATCATCAGTCCTGCGGCAGTTACAGTAAGCTGCAGTACATTCCAGTCCTCTGTGCCCACGACTTGTCAAACAACTTTGTTTACATAAACTTGTAAATCTTATCGCTGTTTCTGTTTGGTGTTTGTGCTTGAGTTCACTCCCACATACTGGGCTCCAGGCCCCTTTGACAATATTGCTGGTACAGAAAAGGCATTGTGTTTGTGTTGCCATGAGTAACACAAAGTGTATAAACAGAAATATATATTTTGGGTGAAACACTAATTAACAAACTCAGTAATGACCTAAATACCAAACTCTGTTAACGGGCTTTGTCGTCAAATGTGTGATATTTTCTGTTGGGGCCATGACACTGTGCATCAGTGCATCTGTGATCAGTCTTTACAAAATGCTTGATCTGTTTTCTTATTACAGTTTTGTATTTAACTACCCATGACTTCTTCAGTTGTTCTGTATTCCTGTTTAATAAAGAAATTACCAAAGTTTACAGACGTGCTCTGGAGACAAGAAATAAACTATAACTCTGCATTTATAGAAAGTACTTTCAGTAGGTATACTGTGGTTAACTTAAAACGAAGTATCATAGGGGCTAAAAAAAAACATAACAAATTTCCCAGGTATAACAAACTTCCCAGGTGTGGGAGTAATAAAGGTTTATCTTATTTCATCGTATCTTATCTTAAAACAAACTTCAGTTCTTTTTCCTTATTTCTTGTCTATTTATCATGTTATCATATGGAGTCAACGATGAAATTTCAGGAGTTTTTTATTCTGACACAAGCACAATGATAAAATCGAAAACGTGAAAACATAAATACACAAATAAACACGTTACTCATACGAATTCCATAAGAATTAGTATAAAAAAGAAAAAAAAAGAACAAAATATATGATTCACATATTACTAAATGCATTTACTTATTTGCAATATACATTGAATATAAATTCCAATATCACTGAAATCAATATTAGATTAATTTCATAACAGTCACTAGGCAGGAGGTTAAAATAATTATAATGAACATGAGCAGAAGTTCACAATTCTATATTATTCTAAAGTAACTGCGTGTGTTAATCTTGTAATTTTATTTATTATTATTTTATCATTATTTTTGCATAAAGATTATTCTTAAGATTCATTCGTGGTCTTTGATTTACAAAAAAAGAGAACAAAAACTACAACACAGAGGAGATCAAGAAAAGATTTCTCAGAAGAAACTTAGTATTCAAAGGACTAACTTATGTCAGTTAGATTGTAATTAAATAATTTGATAAAAAGCAATCAAGATTTAATCAGTTTATCAACTGAAACAGTTAACCTACTCTGTAGAATAAAAAAGACATATGTAAACAGCACATTCAATCGGAAAAGTGGCTACATTGTTAAACCCACATTTTGTTTTAGAAACATTACTATGCATTGCTTTAGTTCTTTAGTTTTCAGTCCGTATATAATAGGATCAAGGAAAGGGGGAAAAATTAGAACAGACACACCAAATGCTCTTCTCAGAACAGGGGACGAGCTGTCGATGCGGTGAGAAATCAATGCAAAGACAGTGTTGATTTGTAAGCTTAAGAAAACAATTAAATGTGTAGCACATGTCTGAATGGCTTTTTGCCGGGCATCTGTATGATTCGTGATGACACATGTACGCAAGATCTGTGCATATGTGTACACAATTAGTGCCAACGGGCCTCCCATAAGCAGGAATATAGTTGCTAATCCATAGTAGTTGTTCACACTGGTGTCTTCACAGATTAATTTTACTAATGACTGATTGTTACAGAAAAAATCTACAATGTTTGTTCTGCATGTTTTGAAACGTGCAAGCAGAATAAACAATGTAAACATCATTGACAAATTTATGAACCATGTTATAACAATCATTTTCATTAAATTATGTGAATTCATAATGGTTGTATACCTCAGTGGAAAACATATAGCAATATATCTGTCATATGCCATGACACTCAAGATGAGCAAATTTCCTGTACCATAAACATGAATCAGAAAAGCCTGAAAAATACACGCATGGTGGGAAATAAGTCTGTTCTCTGCCACAATGCTAAAAATGAGATGAGGAAAAAAAGCCGTTGCACCCACTATGTCACTAATGGGCAAGTTGAACAGCAGGATAAACATGGGCTTGTGTAGTTTTTTATTCATAGCGATGACTGTTAACACTAACAAATTGGCAAACATAATAATTAAATAGGTAAGTGTTCCAAATACAAATGCTGGATAGATATCTGTGCTAGATAAGCCCAGTGTTTGCAGTGTTAGAAGGCTACTTGTAGATGAATTAGTATACATAATTATACAATCTTTAAACTGTTTCCTTTCTTATGGAAAATAATATGTTCCTCTTGCTTGTCAAAATCTGTATCAAATTTCTCCAGTTAAAATAAATTATCATAAATTAACAAGCAATTTCAATTTGATTATGAAACACAAAGTTAGTTGTACCTGTGTTGTTGTTTTTTCCTGAAGCCTTGCATCACCCTAACTTCACCCTTACAGTGCTGTAATTACCAATGATGATGATGTTGTTCTTTATATAAGCCAAAGATGCCCCACGAGGCTAGCTGTTGGAGCATTTTGCATGAAGTAAGTCCTCACATAGAAGTAGATATGTAAAATTTTACTTTTATTCAGAAAAAGTCTTTGAAGTATATCTCATTAATAATTTCTCAGTTTAGGTTTTGTAGACGTTCTTTGTTCAGCAATACAAGCTGCCATTTTGAGTTCAATCCTGTTTCTAGTGAGTTTGCGTTTGGTCCATTTCCTCCCTGCACACAGCCGGATCATGACAGATATATGTTTAAACCAGTCTTAGTTATGTAGCACACTTCACATAAACAATGTACTGAATATATAATAGACATTAAAATGAAATGATCGAATTATATATTTAAATTGTTGTATTATTAATAGTAGTATTAGTTATAACAATAATACTAATAATAATACAGATATTAAAATGGGAAAAGATGATTGATAATATACAATGTATATGAAAGTATAAAAGTTCATATTCTATGAAAATAAAGTGTTTATTTGATTTTTGTGAAAACAGTCACACAACGAGAAAAAAGTGTAATTGGAAGTTTCCATTTACTTTTTATGCAAAAGAATATAATGACAAGCAATAACTAAAAAATAAAGTAATAACCTACATTCTTTCAAAAAGCATTACAATATCTGTCATCAGAAAACTTAATCAGCATTTTTTAAAAGACTCGACAGAGTGACTGAATTAATGTCAGACAGCAGGATAAATACGGGAAAATAAAACATTTAAAATGTTTCAGCATGTTACATCAGATTCTTTTGAAAAAAGTGCATTAAGATGAAAAGATCCTATTCTTTAAAAAGTTCAACACCTTTTCTCGAATGTCCTTTGTTTTCAAACCGTAGATGATTGGATTCAGTGTTGGGGGGAAAATTAAAGTTGACAAACCCATAAATCTTCTGAAATGGGGTGAAACATTATTTAGTCTATATGATATGATGGTGAAAAGACCAAGACACTCCAACAAGAGAAAAACAATCAGATGTGTAGCACATGTCTGCAGAGCTTTGGCTTTTGTATCTGATCGTTTACATCTAAAGCAAGTTATGAGGATCCGGAGATATGTGTAGAAAACAATTCCATTAGCCACCAATTGTGCAACAGCACTTATCAAAAGCCCATAGATATTGTTAATAGTTGTGTCAGCACAGACCAAAGTCAGCAGAGATGGATTATCACAGTAAACGTGAGTCATTTCAGATCGACAACGAGGCAAACGCAAAAGTAAGAAAAAAAGCACAGCAATTAAAACTAAACAACTCATCCATACAATGGTGATTATTCTCATGATATGGGCATTAGTCATCACAGTACTGTACTGCAGTGGGTAACATATGGCAATGTATCTATCATATGCCATTGCACTCAGATTGAACA